TGTACGCGATGTATGGGATGTACGGGATGTACGGGATGTACGCGATGTACGGGATGTAGGGGATGTATGGGATGTACGCAATGTATGGGATGTACGGGATGTACAGGATGTAGGGGATATACAGGGTGTAGGGAATGTAGGGGATATGTGGGATGTACGGGATTTACAGGCAAGCAGATATCCTGACAGGAAGACTGAAGAACTCCTATGGCGCTCCACAGCACGCAGTAGTTCATTGAGAATTACAAGCCGACAGCCACTAAGGCTACTGGGACTTGTAGTTCATTCATTCACAGAACTCTGTGAATGAATGACGTGGCCTTGTGGGTGGAGCCCCGCACAGCCGCACTGTTTATAAGAAGTGACAGCTGGTACTCTGATGGGGGGGGGGGAGGGGATCGGGAAGAGGCTGCAGCATTGGGAACATGTTACATGTTCATCCTAAAGACAGGTGGGACATGTAACATGTTCCCGGAGGTGAACTCCCCCTTTGCCGGCTGTACCTAGGTCACTAAACTGTTACGCACGGCTTTCAGTAGATTGCCAACCTTCTTCCACCAAGGCTGAGCTCTCGCATCCCCATTGGCAGCTTAGAGCCCCTAACAGTGTTGGTACCCATCTGGTTGCCTTTCTCGGTTCATATAGTGATGAGGGTTACCATTTACACCGGTCTGGTTTGAGTTTGCCATGGTGTTTTAACCCTTCGCCTACCGGGCCCTTCTACCCCCTTCCTGCCTACAGGGCACTTCTACCCCCTTCCTGCCTACAGGGCACTTCTACCCCCTTCCTGCCTACCGGGCACTTCTACCCCCTTCCTGCCTACCGGGCGCTTCTACCCCCTTCCTGCCTACCGGGCACTGTCATCCCCTTCCTGCCTACCGGGCACTGTCACCCCCTTCCTGCCTACCGGACACTTCTACCCCTTTCCTACCTACAGGGCACTTCTACCCCCTTCCTGCCTACCGGGCGCTTCTACCCCCTTCCTGCCTACCGGGCGCTTCTACCCCCTTCCTGCCTACCGGGCACTGTCATCCCCTTCCTGCCTACAGGACACTTCTACCCCCTTCCTGCCTACCGGGCACTTCTACCCCCTTCCTGCCTACAGGGCACTTCTACCCCCTTCCTGCCTACCGGGCACTTCTACCCCCTTCCTGCCTACAGGGCACTTCTACCCCCTTCCTGCCTACCAGGCACTTCTACCCCCTTCCTGCCTACCGGGCACTTCTACCCCCTTCCTGCCTACCGGGCACTTCTACCCCCTTCCTGCCTACAGGGCACTTCTACCCCCTTCCTGCCTACCGGGCACTGTCACCCCCTTCCTGTCTACAGGACACTTCTACCCCCTTCCTGCCTACCGGGCAGTGTCACCCCCTTTCTGCCTACCGGGCACTTCTACCCCCTTCCTGCCTATGGACACTTCTACCCCCTTCCTGCCCACCAGGCACTTCTACCCCCTTCCTGCCCACCAGGCACTTCTACCCCCTTCCTGCCCAGGCCAATTTTCAGCTTTTAGCTCTGTCACACTTTCAATGACAATTGCACGGTCATGCAACACTGTACCCATTTGACATTTTTATCATTTTTTTCACACACATAGAGCTTTCTTTTGGTGGTATTTAATCCCCGCTTTGTTGTTTTATTTTTTGCTCTATAAACAAAAAAAGGGCAAAAAATTTTAAAAATAAGTTTTTCTTTGTATCTATTATAAAATTTTGCAAACAGGTAATTTTCTCCTTCACTGATGTGCTTTGATGAGGCTTCACTGATAGGCAGCACTGATGGGCACTGATAGGCAGCACTGATGGGCACTGATAGGCAGCATTGATGGGCACGGATATGCAGCACTGATGGGCACTGATAGGCAGCACTGATGGGCACTGATGAGGTGGCACGGATAGGCAGAACTGAAGGGCACTGATAAGAGGCACTGACAGGTGGCACTGATAGGAGGCACTGATAGGCGGCACTGCTGGACAGTACTGATGGGTGGCACTGCGGAGTGAAACAGGTGGGTGGCACAGGTGGGTGGCACTGATTGGCACAGGTGGGTGGCACTGCAGGGCAAAGGTGAGTGGAACTGCAGGGCACAGGTGGGTGGCACTGATGGATACAGGAGGGCAGCAATGCTGGGCACAGTTGGGTGGCACAGATGGGTGGCACTGCAGGGCACTGATCATCAGTGCCCTGATGATCAGTGCCGATCCCTTCGCTGGCAATTGCCAGTTCTTGGCAGTACTTTCCTCATGCTGTCACAGAGAGAACCAGCAATTGTCCTGAAATGACGTCCTAGGATTACACACCCGCACTGTAGCTGTCTCATTTCAGGTTGACCCCGAGGTATTAACGAAAATTACACATTTTTCTCTACTATTGTGTATACCCGACGTGTCAGGTGTGCTGAGGCATTTGCCAAGGTCAAGGTAAGAAGCCAACATAACCAGTGGCTCCAGAGGGCGGGGCTGGGCATTACATTTAGTTCTGCCCCAAGGAGTGTCAAGGGGGGGTGAGCCACCCTATTGTATATTTCTGACACCCTCTCAAGACAGAAGTCATGAGATGTATGGGAAGTGGTAGTCAGGGGTTGCTAACCTGTGAGGCTTAAGGGACTTACAGAAATACCCCTCTGGGGTAGACCCTAAGACATCATTGGAGTAAAAGAGCTAACTAAGGACTTTTATTGGGAGCTACTTTTGGAAAGGCTGATTGGTACCCCCCTGGTTGATGACAAACGTGCCAAAGAATGTGGAAAGAGAGAAGCAGGAGATGCTGGCTGTAACGGAACCCAAAGTGAGCTGTGTTCCATGGGCCCCCCCACCCAAAGTGACTCCCGTCACACTGGCACTGTTCTGCGTTTCATCGTTCCTACCTTTTTTCTTCTAAGTAAAGCATCTAAGAAGGCTGCCCATGTGGACAATAGATTTTTTAGTTAAACTCCAAAGTGTACATGGGGGCAGGTTTCAGGCTGGGAGTAAGAGACTACTCAAGATGGCAGAATTCCTCCATGACCAAGGTGTCTGGTGCCCCATCTCAGTCCTGTTGCAGGAGGGTAATAGGAGGTGCCCTGGGCCAGCATGGCCGACGCTGGTTGTGAACCAAGGCTTTGGTAACACCTTTGTTATCATACTCCATGAACACTGCAGATTTTCCTGCCTCAAGGTGTCCAGCGGTGCCCGAGGTCGTACAGGACCCCAGCAACACCAATACATGGACCCTCACCTTTCTTCCCATGAAAAGAGATTCTGTGAAGACTATTGATGACGTCGGCTAAGCTACCATTCAGCCATTATTTTACTTACTAATTAAATAGCTTGGAATCGTCCCAAATAACAAATGCGGACGACCTTGAAATGAACCATAACGATCCACATAATTTAACAGTTCCTGGGCTCCTCTCACTTTTATTGTGTCGACAAATCCCTCTCCTTCAAAACGTTGATGTCTTTTGTATCCCGGTGAATTAACTGTAACCAGAATTCATTGCCACCCATTGTCGATGGATTCCTTCTTTGTTGCTAAACTAATTGTAACGAGATTCGCTCTTTGTTTTAGCCGGGTTTTAGATTAATCATTATGGGATTAAGCTTTTGTTTTTCATTTACTAGAATAATTATGTGTTTCTCCAGTTCTCCGGAGCTCACAATTTCCATGGCTTTCCAAAAAAAAAACAAAAAAAAACCTGTTATCTACATGTTGGAGTATTATACCGGGGGTATAAAAAGACTGTAAAATAAAACCTATCATATGAAATCAACACCTTCTTTCCATCATTTGAAGGGCCCGCGTCAATAGACGTTTGTTTACGACAGAACTGCTTCTCCTCTCATACAAGTCCATTGGCAGGCAAAGGCAGTTTGAAGTGGAAAGAATGGACATGCTTTACTCAAGGCTCCGATACCCCCAAATCTCTCCGATATCAGGAGCAGATTCCTTGTAGTCATTGGCCACTAAAATGGACTCTTCCAGAAAAAGAAAGGGAACCACTCACTGTATTAAACGCCTCACATCCATTTATTCAACAGTTCAACAATACAGACTGTGACAGGAGTCACTTTGGGCGGGGGGCCCATGGAACACAGCTCACTTTGGGTGGGGGGGCCCATGGAACACAGCTCACTTTGGGTGGGGGGCCCATGGAACACAGCTCACTTTGGAGAGGTGGGGAGACCCCTCTCTCAGCTCCCCATATCCCTCTTATGTGTAAGTCACTCTGTGCCTGTTAGGGGTACAGGGTGATCTGTCCTAATATTGGGGTGGGGGTTGTTGTTTAATGCCATGTGGTTGTATCCCATTGTTCTATTGTGTGTCTTGCTTGGGAGAAAACTATTATGGGATGTGTTTATGTGTATTGGCTTGGTGTGGGGGGTGTCTCCAGCAGCCCTCCCTCCTGATGGGACTGTCTGCTGGTGTGTCTCTTGTTACTAAATGTAGATTGCCCCGCCCTGTGTCATTATGCAGGGAGGGGGGATTGTCCCCTGAGTGTATATATCTTGTATCTGTGTTAAAATAAAGTAGTCTACCTCCTGGTTTACTTCAAGACTGGTGTCGTGTAGTCTTGTATGGTTGGCTGTGGTGTCTGTGGTCGGTGTTCGGACAGGAAAGCGGTATTCTAACGGAAGTACCCAAGTGCAGTCGGGGTCCGGTTCCATTACACAGACCAGTCCATCCAAGGCGCAAACACCCCAAAACATTTCAGTCAACAAGGAACCTAATCACAGGGTAACCATTACAGACAAACCAATGTCCTTATATTGGTGCTCCAATCTGCACTGCCAAAACTAAAGAACTTCACCCCTAAAGAAAAGTTCTGCCTCCTTCCCACCATCTTCAACTTTTGGACACATTTTTTTTGGAAGTGGAGGGGGGGAGCAGGTACCTTGTTTTGACAGCCTAGACCAGCCTTTCTCAAAATGTTCAACACAGAGGAACCCTTGAAATAACAAGGGAAGCCCTGCTACAAATTACATTAGTGTGATGGTCAGTGGAAGGAATGCTCCTTACATTGGTGGTCATTGGGAAGAATGCTCCTTACATTGGTGGTCAGTGGGAAGAATGTCCCTTACATTGGGGTCAGTGGGAAGAATGTCCCTTACATTGGTGGTCAGTGGGAAGAATGTCCCTTACATTGGTAGTTATTGGGAAGAATGTCCCTTACATTGGTGGTCAGTGGGAAGAATGTCCCTTACATTGGTAGTCATTGGGAAGAATTACCCCCTTACAGATAGCTAAAAAGATCAATGGTGTCAGTGGGAACTTATCTAGGAGGGAGAAATTGTTCATTGCTCATATAACCCCTAGCAACCTCTGGAGGAACCCTAGTTGAGAATCCTGGTCAAAACAAAACCTATCATATGAAACCAACACCTTCTTTCCATCATTTGAAGGGCCCGCGTCAATGGATGTTTATTTATGACAGAATTGCTTCTCCCCTCATACAAGTCAATGGGAAGGCAAAGGCAGTTTGCAGTAAAAAGAATGGACATGCTCCACTCAAGGCTCCAATACCCCCAAATCTCTCTGATATCAGGAGCAGGTTCCTTGTAGTCATTGGCCACTAAAATGGGCTCTGCGGCAACTCCAGAAAAAGAAAGGGAACCACTCGCTGTATTAAACGTCTCAAATCCATTTATTCAACAGTTCAAAAATAAAGACCAGTCCATCCAAGGCACAAACACCCCAATGCATCTCAGTCAACAAAGAGCCTAATCACAGGGTGTGACCATTACACACAAACCAATGCCCTTATATTGGGGCTCCAATCTGCACTGCCGAAGCTAATGAAAATAGATGTGAGAGCCAAATAGGTGGCTCATGAATGTATGAGAGACGATGTTTAGAGAGGAACTTCACCCCTAAAGAAAAGTTCTGCCTCCTTCTCACCATCTTCAACTTTTGGACACTTTTTTTTGGAAGTGGAGGGGGAGCAGGTACCTTGTTTTGACAGACTAGACCAGTCTTTCTCAAAATGTTCAACACAGAAGAAGAAGGGAAACCCTGCTAAAAATGACATTAGTGTGATGGTCATTGGGAAGAATGTCCCTTACATTGGTGGTCAGTGGGAAGAATGTCCCTTACATTGGGGGTCAGTGGGAAGAATGTCCCTTACATTGGGGGTCAGTGGGAAGAATGTCCCTTACATTGGTGATCAGTGGGAAGAATGTCCCTTACATTGGGGGTCAGTGGGAAGAATGTCCCTTACATTGGGGGTCAGTGGGAAGAATGTCCCTTACATTGGTGATCAGTGGGAAGAATGTCCCTTACATTGGTGATCAGTGGGAAGAATGTCCCTTACATTGGGGGTCAGGGGGAAGAATGCTCCTTACATTGGGGGTCAGTGGGAAGAATGTCCCTTACATTGGTGATCAGTGGGAAGAATGTCCCTTACATTGGGGGTCAGTGGGAAGAATGCTCCTTACATTGGGGGTCAGTGGGAAGAATGTCCCTTACATTGGTGATCAGGGAAGAATGTCCCTTACATTGGTGATCAGTGGGAAGAATGTCCCTTACATTGGGGGTCAGTGGGAAGAATGTCCCTTACATTGGGGGTCAGTGGGAAGAATGTCCCTTACATTGGGGTCAGTGGGAAGAATGTGCCTTACATTGGGGGTCAGTGGGAAGAATGTCCCTTACATTGGTGGTCAGTGGGAAGGATGCCCCTTACATTGGGGGTCGGTGGGAAGAATGTCTCTTACGTTGGGGGTCAGTGGGAAGAATGTCCCTTACATTGGTGGTCAGTGGGAAGAATGTCCCTTACATTGGTGGTCAGTGGGAAGAATGTCCCTTACATTGGGGGTCAGTGGGAAGAATGTCCCTTACATTGGGGGTCAGTGGGAAGAATGTCCCTTACATTGGTGATCAGTGGGAAGAATGTCCCTTACATTGGGGGTCAGTGGGAAGAATGTCCCTTACATTGGGGGTCGGTGGGAAGAATGTCCCTTACATTGGGGGTCAGTGGGAAGAATGTCCCTTACATTGGGGGTCAGTGGGAAGAATGTCCCTTACATTGGTGATCAGTGGGAAGAATGTCCCTTACATTGGTGATCAGTGGGAAGAATGTCCCTTACATTGGGGTCAGGGGGAAGAATGCTCCTTACATTGGGGGTCAGTGGGAAGAATGTCCCTTACATTGGTGATCAGTGGGAAGAATGTCCCTTACATTGGGGTCAGTGGGAAGAATGCTCCTTACATTGGGGGTCAGTGGGAAGAATGTCCCTTACATTGGTGATCAGTGGGAAGAATGTCCCTTACATTGGTGATCAGTGGGAAGAATGTCCCTTACATTGGGGGTCAGTGGGAAGAATGTCCCTTACATTGGGGGTCAGTGGGAAGAATGTCCCTTACATTGGGGGTCAGTGGGAAGAATGTGCCTTACATTGGGGGTCAGTGGGAAGAATGTCCCTTACATTGGTGGTCAGTGGGAAGGATGCCCCTTACATTGGGGGTCGGTGGGAAGAATGTCTCTTACGTTGGGGGTCAGTGGGAAGAATGTCCCTTACATTGGTGGTCAGTGGGAAGAATGTCCCTTACATTGGGGGTCAGTGGGAAGAATGTCCTTACATTGGGGGTCAGTGGGAAGAATGCCCCTTACATTGGTGGTCAGTGGGAAGAATGTCCCTTACATTGGGGGTCAGTGGGAAGAATGTCCCTTACATTGGGGGTCAGTGGGAAGAATGTCCCTTACATTGGTGGTCAGTGGGAAGAATGTCCCTTACATTGGGGGTCAGTGGGAAGAATGTCCCTTACATTGGGGGTCAGTGGGAAGAATGTCCCTTACATTGGGGGTCAGTGGGAAGAATGTCCCTTACATTGGGGGTAAGTGGGATGAATGTCCCTTACATTGGGGGTCAGTGGGAAGAATGCCCCTTACATTGGTGATCAGTGGGAAGAATGTCCCTTACATTGGTGGTCAGTGGGAAGAATGCCCCTTACATTGGTGGTCAGTGGGAAGAATTACCCCCTTACAGATAGCTAAAAAGATCAATGGTGTCAGTGGAAACTTATCTAGGAGGGAGAAATTGCTCATTGCTCAAAGAACCTCTAGCAACCTCTGGAGGAACCCTAGTTTAGAAATCCTGGTCAAAGCAATCCGAGCTGACGTTTGGCCCACCACCCTCTCTGCCTGCAGCCTCTTAAGATATGTCACAGGTCCCAGAAGGGCGCAGGACCATTCACAGGGTGCAGCATACCTCGCATATGCACAGTTGGAAGCCAACTCTGAAGCTGCAAGGAGTCACAGTCGACTTCACCTTTAGCATGGCGGCACCAGGGACCTGGAGACCGGGCATATGTGGTGATGAGTATTACGCAGAGCGCATATGTGGTGATGAGTATTACGCAGAGGGCATACGTGGTGATGAGTATTATGCAGAGCGCATATGTGGTGATGAGTATTACGCAGAGCGCATATGTGGTGATGACTATTACGCAGAGCGCATATGTGGTGATGAGTATTATGCAGAGGGCATATGTGGTGATGAGTATTACGCAGAGCGCATATGTGGTGATGAGTATTACGCAGAGGGCATATGTGGTGATGAGTATTACGCAGAGGGCATATGTGGTGATGAGTATTACGCAGAGCGCATATGTGGTGATGAGTATTACGCAGAGGGCATATGTGGTGATGAGTATTACGCAGAGGGAATATGTGGTGATGAGTATTACGCAGAGGGCATACGTGGTGATGAGTATTACGCAGAGCGCATACGTGGTGATGAGTATTACGCAGAGGGCATACGTGGTGATGAGTATTACGCAGAGGGCATATGTGGTGATGAGTATTACGCAGAGCGCATATGTGGTGATGAGTATTACGCAGAGGGCATACGTGGTGATGAGTATTACGCAGAGGGCATATATGGTGATGAGTATTACGCAGAGCGCATATGTGGGGATACAAGCAAGCAGCTGATTGGCTCCTCAACGCCCGCTATAAATGGTGAATAAAAGCAGCAAATCGCAGCTCTGATTACAGATTGCAGATAATTGTGACGCATCTAAATTGTCTTGAATGGGTCATGTTTGGCTTTGGTAATGGCCGTTAAATGCAAAATGGGAAGTAATTTTTGCCAGGACCGTGAAGCAAAGGCTGTGGTATAGGTTCCACCCTGTCTGGCCGCCATGTTATGTTAAGGTGATATGACTCTACCACCTATTTTTACTGCCCCTTAGGTGCAGATGTAAATGAGTCTAAATTAGATGCCTGATGCAAGATAGGAATTCTGAGCGGCATTGATCTTGTTTTTATTGGGAAACAGCATTGTATGTTTTTAGCCTACAGGCCGCCATAACAGCGTCCACATTGACCCCCCATAGACTGCACACAGGAGTTCCCCCCATTAATTCAGATGATGAAACAAGCGGGCATACATTTCTATCTGACATGATATTGTTCACTATAATGTCCCTTTAATTTTGGAGCAATTATATTTCCTGCAGAGGCGGTGCAGAGAGATGAAGAAGGTGAGGAAGGAATGACAGGTAATTAAATGGAAATATTGAGAATGTTACAGATTATGCCGGGCAGAGAGAGCCGGAGCTTCCTTCAATTGGAATATTTTGGTATGATTGCAATTAAACCATGAAATCCCTCATTAATATATTGTAGATGTACATGGAATATAAACTGGAATAAACCAACATCAAACGGAGTCCCACACCTCGTACATCGCTGTGTAACATGAAATAGAATAATCACATGTGTTGTATTTACCAAAATATACTAAACAATCCATTGAATAAGTTATGATCTTTCTTTTATGGCTATTAATAAGAATGTGTAAGAAGATACATGAGCTGATTAAATGTAGCAGATTCTATCATTCTTGTATGAGACAATGAAGATGGATGGACTTCAATTACAAGTTCTAGAACACGCTGTGCCTTCTTCCTCCTCCTGGTTATCACTAGGGATGAGCTCAAGGTTTGGTTTGATCAGACGTTCGGAACAATGGACATCCCAGTGATGTCACTGACAGTTTGGTCAATGATGTCACCCAGGAAATCCACTCCTTTGTATATATGAGCTGTCATTTGCCGGACCTGTCATTCAGCAGGAGGGAAGTGACACGCAAGTCATGCATTGGCAGATGGCCTTTCTTTTTCTTTTGGTGGGCCATGGACATCAGGCATCATGATTGATGTGGATCTACATCACTGGATGGCATGATTGACATAGTTCTACATCACTGGATGGCATGATTGACATAGTTCTACATCACTGGATGGCATGATTGACATAGTTCTACATCAGGATGACATGACAGCCATGGATCTAACTTACTGAATAACATGACTGACATGGATCTACATCACTGGATGACATGACTGACATGGATCTACATCACTGGATGACATGACTGACATGGGTCTACATCACTGGATGACATGACTGACATGGGTCTACATCACTGGATGACATGACTGACATGGGTCTACATCACTGGATGACATGACTGACATGGATCTACATCACTGGATGACATGACTGACATGGGTCTACATCACTGGATGACATGACTGACATGGATCTACATCACTGGATGACATGACTGACATGGATCTACATCACTGGATGACATGACTGACATGGGTCTACATCACTGGATGACATGACTGACATGGGTCTACATCAATGGATGACATGACTGCCATGGGTCTACATCAATGGATGACATGACTGCCATGGGTCTACATCACTGGATGACATGACTGAAATGGGTCTACATGACTGGATGACATGACTGACATGGGTCTACATGACTGGATGGCATGACTGCCATGGGTTTCTACATCAATGGATGACATGACTGCCATGGGTCTACATCACTGGATGACATGACTTCCATGGGTCTACATCACTGGATGACATGACTCACATGGGTCTACATGACTGGATGGCATGATTGACATAGTTCTACATCATTGGATGACATGACAGCCATGGGTCTAAATTAATAAATAATATGACTGACATGGGTCTACATTAATGGATGACATGACTGACATGGATCTAACTTACTGAATAACATGACTGCCATAAGTCTACATCAATGGATGACATGACTGACATGGATATATATCACAGGATGACATGACTGATGGGTCTACATCACTGGATGACATGACTGACATGGGTGTACATCACTGGATGACATGACTGACATGGATCTACATCACTGGATGACATGACTGACATGGATCTACATCACTGGATGGCATGACTGACATGGGGCTACATCACTGGATGACATGACTGACATGAGTCTACATCACTGGATGACATGACTGACATGGATCTACATCACTGGATGGTATGACTGACATGAGTCTACATCACTGGATGACATGACTGACATGGATCTACATCACAGGATGACATGACTGACATGGGTCTACATCAATGGATGACATGACTGCCATGGGCCTACATCACTGGATGACATGACTGACATGGGTCTACATCACTGGATGACATGACTGACATGGGCCTACATCACTGGATGACATGACTGACATGGGTCTAAATCACTGGATGTATATGTATATAGATGTCCCCATATCGCTAAAGTGGAATTCAAGATTCTGATATTGCAAAGTACCCCCACCCCATTTTGAGGGCATGTGGCCTGGTATGGTTCAGGAGAGGTTGTCATGCTCACATAGAAGTTTGAAATTAATTTGCTTTTCTTTATTTTTGCATGAGGTTCCCTCTTAACATTCATGCCTTTTTTTTTATTTCACTTAACTTTATTTGGTATCACATGGGAGGCGGATTTCTTTTCCAAGTGTCTGGATACAATTTATAAAAATGTTGACCTAGCTATCTCTCCCCTATACCGTAGTGTTGTCTATCCTAGCAGGCATCCAGCACTTGGAATACAGTGCACATATCATTGATATTACCTAACGGGTTGTCCTTCAATTATCTCCATAATTGCCTTTGATTTTTGATTTTTTTTTCTGGGTAAATCACATGCTGTTAAGTAGAGCACTTCTTTAATTGAATTACCGCGGTGTCACTACATAATAAGCCACGCAATTCCCTTTGTAATGGGAGCCGTCGCCGGGTTCTGTATCTCTCCCACTCCATTGATTTTTATTGACGCATTTATTTATTTCGGAGGAAGGACAGATTCATGTGGCGGGATGTGACAGGCTGTAAATCCTGCCTGTCCATTGACGGGGTATTTAACAGAGACGGGGACATTAATGAGTCGTCGGCCCCTTTGTCTGGAAGAGTATAAACCATATTTATAGGATCAGATAATAGGCGGGAATACAATGTAATGAGAAAATACTTTCCATTTGTCTCGGCTTGGCCTTCCATTTTTCACCGGCGAGCTCCAGTACAGTAA